GACAAAATGTCTCCTCTTTTTATCGTGCTTACATGTAGGGGCAAGATAACTATGGCTGCGCCGGTGCATGCATGGCCTCCTTGAAGGCCCTGGAGCCGCGAATCCTGGCGTCCTACCCACTACGGGAGAGAGGACGAATGGTGAGCTACACGCCTTTGGCATGGTGCCCTTCTTCATCCCGGAACGTGAGCAGGAGATACATCTGTGTTTCCGTCTGCTTCGTCCTCCGTCGGCTACTCAAGTATGCACGCATTTCCAGGAGGAATTAGAAGCTTCTACTTCTACTCGCAGCAACGATGACGATGACGAGGACTCGACTCAGGGTGTGTTTAGTTCCACGCTAAAATTGGAAGTTTGAAGAAAGTGACGGAAAAGTTGGAAGTTTTTGTGTGTAGGAAAGTTCGATGTGACAGAAAAATTGAAAGTTTGAAGAAAAAAGTTGGAATCTAAACAGTGCCTCAGATATTTGGGAGGTGTTGGGTCTGGGGATTTGTCACGACCGACCTGCTGCTGATGGAGAACCAGATCCCTTTCTTTGTCATCCAGAAGCTGTTCGAGTAGCTTCGGATGAATAGTGATAATAAGGCCATTCACAGTGTGTCCTAAAATTTTACCAGATTTCACATGCCACATGGACCAAGAACCATACTAGCTACATACTCCACAATGCATATTACTTATAGTGGGTCTTACCTATCTCTCTCCTCTCACTTTTCTCCCTTCCCCTCTCTCCTCTCACTTTTCCCACCACCACCAGTCCCTCATGGGCGGAGGAAGCGAAGTGGCACCGATGGTGAGCGTCGCGGCGGCAGCGGCGCCGGGCAGGGCTCCACGCCTCCAACTCTCCTCGTCGCACCGCACTCACCCCCGCCCCTGCAGTTCCAGCAGCCCGAGCAGCATCGGCGGTGGTCGCCGCCACGGCTGCAACGGAGGCGGCGGGAGAGGAGAGGTGGCGGCGCTGCCCAAGTGGAGACGGCGCCAGGCGGGCGGAAGATACGGACGATGGCGGCGCCGAGCGGAACCCGTAGACGACGGCGCCGCCACACAGAGCCGCGGATGACGGCGCCGCCGATCTGCGGAACTCGGGAGGCTCTTCTCCCTCTCCGTCGCCGACAGTCCGAGCGGCGACGACGACATCGGGCGGTCTTAGCGGCAACAACGGCGGCTATGGATCGAGCTCGCCGGCTCCGAATCGACGTCGGTCGTCCCCTTCTCTTCTCCTCTGCCGCATCTCCCCTCCTCCTCCTCCACTTGTGCAGGAGCAAGGGACAGCGGGGCAGCTGCGTGAAGCTGGGGCTGCGACTTGCCTCGGCGCCACCATGCTCAAATCTCCCCGTCGGCGGCCTCCCCCTCTCCCCTCTCTCTCCTCTCTCCCATCTTGATGGCACGGAGCGCGAGTGTGGGTTCCACTTGCGAAGAGAAACCCGTAGCTAAAGTTGGCTCCGCGGTCCTGATGAGGCTGCGCAAATTGATAATGTGGCAAGGAATATTCGTTTTTTGGTGGTGAGGCTGAACGTCACAGAGGTCCATTGTGAATGGTCTAAGAAGACCAATGACGACGACGTCCTTGTCACCGGAACACTGCGGCTTTTCCGCTCCCTCCGCCCGCAGAAGCTCTACTCCTCGCCAACGATCTCATGCAGCCAAATGGATGTGCACCACCTCCTGCACCTCTTCTACATCTCCATAGGCTTCCCACCTGCAGGCTGCAGCAGCGCCAAAGGCACCGGCACCCGACGACCTCCGCCACCACGCGGTGCCACTGCCACCATCAGAGCTCTCGCAGTGGATCCCGTGCGCCAGGGAGCTGGAGGAGGCCGGCATTAGATTCCGCCCTTGGAAAGGCGCGACGAGCTTCCTCGACGTGAATTTCAGTGACGGTGGCATCCTGGAGATCCCCGAGCTGCCGGCCATTGGAAGACTACAGTGAGCCCCTGTTCCGCAACCTGATCACCTTCGAGCAGACGCGCCCCTTCACGCCGGGCCACGTCACCGCCTACGCCATCTTCATGGACAGCCTCGTCACCTCGCCGGAGGACATGAGGCTGCTGCTCATCATCAGCAGCGTGCTGGTGAACCAGATGAACGGAGAGCGGGATGCCACGACGGGGTTCTTCGGCCGCCTGTGCACCGAGGCACACCTAGACGCTGACCGCAACTACCTCGCGGCGTCATCCACGAGGTGAATCGGTACCGCTGGTCTAGGTGGCCCAGGTGGCATGCAACCCTGGTGCGCAACTACTTCAGCAACCCGTGGCTGGCCACATCACTCGTCGCAGCGGTCATCATTCTCTCTTTGACTGTGTTGCAGAGCTTCTTTGCAGCTTAAAACATCAGCAATGGATGCCCCTGGGGCGTATCCCTACTCACGGCGTCCACTTTTCCGGCCGGAGCCGTCTCCTAGCAGAGAGCCGCGACCCCTGTGCAAGGGACGCGGCTCTACGAGCTCCTCTACTGGGGACCGGGCGAGGAGCCGCACTGGGTTGGCTGTGGCTAGGGAGGAGCCTGTGGACACGGCTCTCTCCCCCCGTTTTTCCCCTTCTACCCTCGCCGGCTGCCGGAAGGAGAGAGAGGCAGCGACGAGAGAGAGAGAGAGAGAGAGAGAGTACCGCCTCCGGCCAGTGACGGTGCGAGGCGGAGGAGGTCGCGACGGCGACGACACGATGTGGGGAGATCGGCGATGGCGTGAGGCGGGGAGGACGGCAACGGCGCAGCGAGCGGCACCGACGACGGATCCGTGCATCGCTCGCCGTTCACCGCTCGATGACGCGACGGCGACGAACAAATCCGCTGACAAAGCTCCGGCGGTGGCGGCAGCCCTTCTCATTGTCTTCACAGCCGCCGCCAACGGGAGGGAGGGAGGGAGGGAGGGAGAGTGAGGCTCGCGGCGGCGGCGGGAGAGAGAGGGAGAGGGAGTCAGGCGAGCGGCGGGAGAGTGGAGGACGGCGACGGCGCCGAGGCGAAGAAAAGGAGAGGCGATGAAGAAAAAGAGGAGAGAGAGAGGGGGGGAGAAGAGAGGGGTAGTATAGGAAACATCCAGTGTGGACTTTTGGGTTGGGACATCCACTGTGAGCTTGAGTACCTTCATCCAACTGCTTCAGATTTTGAAGAGCCTAGCTAGGTGTAGCCTTCATTGTGAGATGGGTGTCCTTGAGAGTGTATTCAGTTAGTGAGGACACTCTATGTGTGTCTTTGATTGCTCATGTCCTTATGCCTACTTCAAGTCACCCAAGCAGCAGTAAGATAGCGCGTGGCGACCATATGTTTGTTCTATGTTGTATTGTCACTTGTGAGTGTTCCGTTCTCCTATGCGAGGGAGTAAGCACAATGTGCATGTTCTCGTTGTTTCGTCACAATATCATTTTACGTGTTGTGTGTGCTTTAATTATATATTAGGGCAATTTTACTATCCTTGGCAAAGTACGGGAAGATACCATATTTTCTAGCGTAAAAACTTGGTATCTTGAGGTGCTAAAATTTTTAATATAAAATCGTGGTACTTTGAGATATATTTTCAAGGACGGTAAAATTTCTCTACATATCTTTACCTACTAACAAAATTGATAGTGATTCCCTAGTACTTCGTCTGTCGCCACTTTTCCCATCCCGTTTCAGATTTTGACGAGTCTGTTCGTCGCACAATCTGTTATGGTAGCGAAGCTAGGAAGCCAGCGTTTTTACACCGGCGCGGCCTCTCTGTAATTGACGTTCGTCCCCGCCCGGCTCCATGCGCCAAGATCGCCGCATCCGTCTCCCGCTGCATGCACCAGATCATGCACAACACCAAGTCGAATAAGGAATCGCATCCCCGCACAGTCCAATTAATCAAGCTAGGGTTATTAGTAGATCAGTTTAAATGCATGAAACCTATTAATTACCTCTAGTATGAACTTTTGGTTTGTCGATCCGTATGTTGAAGCAATCAAGCTTCAACTGATGGAGAAGAGGAAAATGCCAAATTCACTCCATATAGCATGATGGAGTAATAATTTCTGACCAGGAGGAACTGAGTTCCCGTATAGTTGAGTTCTATAAAAACACCTTTTTAGAGCTAACTCTCCCAACACAATACACCTTTCAGCTAATTTCGGAGAAATTGATTACATGCGCTCCTCCCTAATTTAGCATATTACATTGTATCCAGATATCACAACTCTCGGCTGGCTATGTCGTTGCTAGTCGTGGCCACACCTATACTATTGTCACTATGCGACTATAATTGGTAGTGTCTCGTTATTATAACTTTAAGTTTTAATTTGTAATCGACTTTGTATATATATTCGTAAAATTATACCAAATCATGTAAACTTGGCTTCATCTTCGCCATACGGAACCGAAGAAAACCATGAGCGGGACACAAACAGTGCGTTCGTAGTTCGCTGAAGCAGTTGGATTGGTAAACGTCAACGAAACATCGAAGTGTCAACTGGTCAGTGACAGTATTATAAATGGTAGGAGTGAGTGACCCTGGGTTATTACCTGGTAAAAAGTTCAGACTTCTGAATCTATGGTTCGCCGCCCCAGCGAAATATTATGTGTTATTGCTAAGGCCTGTTTAGTTCCTAATTTATTTTTCCAAAAACATCACATCAAATTTTTGGACACATGCATAGAGCATTAAATATAGATAAAAACAAAAACTAATTATACAGTTTGCATGGAAAGCGCGAGACGAATCTTTTGAGCCTAATTAGTCCATAATTAGCCATAAGTGCTACAGTAATTCACATGTGCTAATGATGGTTTAATTAGGTCAAAAGATTCATCTCGCGGTTTCCAGGTGAGTTATGAAATTAGTTTTTTTTATTCGTGTCCGAAAATCTCTTCCGGCATCCGGTCAAACATCCTATGTGACTCTCTAAAAAAATATCTGATGTGACACTTAAAAATTTTCTTTTCGCGAACTAACCGCACCCTAAGTCACAACTTTCAAAAACGGACTCTTCGATCTTGTTAGCCTTGCTCACTAAAAAGAAAAAAAATTGCAGCACCCCCACGCGATGATGCTGTTGTCTGCCGTCCCTGGAGCCATCATCCTCCTCGTCGGCGGCTCACTACTAGCACAGTGTCTCGATCCCACGTTGCCGGCAGCGAACACCTCGTCGTCCTGGACGAACTCGGCCGACGACCAAATCCGCTACGGCGATGGCTCCATCGTCCGCGTAGTGCTCCTCTTGTCGCATTCGCATGGCGCCTCCAGCGACGATGCCGCCTTCGCCTGCGGCTTCTTTTGCGGCGCGCCGTGCGACCGCAAGAGCTTCCTGTTCGGCGTATTCCTCGTCAGCACGAACAGCACCGGCGGTGTCGCGGCTGCAGCCGCTGCGCCGCCGCCTGTGGTGGTGTGGTCCGCCAACCGCGACAGGCCGGTCCGCGACAACGCCACGCTCCAGCTCAGCGACGCCGGCGACCTGGTCCTCCGCGACGCGGTCGGCGCGTTCGTCTGGTCGACCAACACCTCGGCCGGCCATGCCGTCACCGGCGTGCGCCTCTCCGACTCCGGCAACCTAGTGCTCTTCGACGACAGTGGCTCCCCCGTCTGGCAATCGTTCGACCACCCGGCGGATGTGCTTCTCCCAGGGCAGTACCTCCGCCCGGGGATGAGGCTGACGGCGAACGCCTCGGCGGCCGACTTCTCCGAGGGCTCGCTCTACGTCTCCGTCGGGAACAACGCCATGTCCGGCTTCGTTGGACACGATCCTTCCCAGCTCTACTTCACAGCTCCGGTCAGTGACACCATGGACACGCTTGCAAACACCATGGACGCTCCGGTCAGCATCTCTGCGTTTGGACGGTCGCCTTCTTCCTCGTCGGAAATCCTGATCTCGCTGCCCGTGGCGCATTCAGTTCAGTATATCCGTGTTGAGTCTGATGGACACATGAGGCTCTACGGGTGGAATTCATCGTCGTGGGTGATCATGTACGAGGTGCTACAGAAGTACATCGCCGGCGGCGACTGCGAGTACCCGATGGCTTGTGGCAGCTATGGCATCTGCTCTGGTGCCGGGAATTGCAGTTGCCCATCAGAGATTCATTCCTCTCCAATCTACAGAGATCGGCCAGGTCTCGGATGTAAGCTGGCGACGCCGATTTCTTGCCGGGATGTACGAGGTATTGAAATGGTGGAGCTTCCAAATGTGACGTACTTCAATTACAACGGCTCTGGAGCAATCATGCGTGACAAGGTGACGCGATCAGATTGTCTTTCAGGCTGCGTAGCGAATTGTTCTTGCAAGGCTGCTTATTTCAAGCTCAGGATGAACGACACAAACGGCACATGTTTCCTTCAGTCACAGCTATTCTCGTTGCACAAACTCCAGACTACAGCACCAAGCCTCTACAACTCCAGGGCATTTATCAAGTTGAACAATATCACTTTTGCAGAAAGAGTTCGTCCTATGAAAAAGACGTTCGGGACTAGAATTCTAGTGGGTATAATAATTGGAACTGTTTCTTTGCTTTTCTCCATTGCTCTGCTCATCAGGATGAGAACCCGCAGAGAACGAGTGGATGGAGAAAATATTGAACATCTGCCTGGAATGCCAAGAAAGTTTAGTTTTGAGGAGTTGAAAGTAGTCACTGGGGATTTCTCCAGCAAGATTGGTGAAGGCGCATCTGGGACAGTATTTGAAGGGAAGATAGAAGATGAAAACATCGCAGTGAAACGTTTGGACAGTGTTGGTCGGCGTAAAGAGGAGTTTCTTACAGAGGTTCAGACTATCGGCAGCATTCATCACGTCAACCTGGTTCGAATGATCGGATTCTGCGCTGAGAAGAACCACAGGCTTCTGGTTTATGAGTACATGCCAAATGGATTGCTGGACAGATGGATCTTTGATGAAAAAGATGGTCGCCCCTTATATTTATATAAGAGATGTGTATTTTGTGAACAATCTTACAAATCACTTTGTCGGATGAAAAAATAACCAAAATAGAAGTTATAGATCTTGATGAGTTATACAACCTTGTTATTGATGACTTTTTCAGTTGAAATCATTTACTACTTCAAAATATTATTTGAAGTTTTGAAATTCAAATTTTTAATTGATAAAACAAAGTCACAAGAAAAAATAGCCAAAATAATACCAGTAAGAACACAATAACATGATAGAGCATGATTTTAGAAACATTTAGGAAAAAAATCATCCAATTTGGAGTTAATATGGGTGAGATACACTAGTTTTAAATTTTTCAAATTTTATTTTCGCATACGGCTTCTTAAGTGGCCCGCATGGAAAAATTTTTCCATGCAGGCGCTTAAGTGAGCCGCATGCAAAAATGAGCTCATTTTTACATGCGGCCCTCTTAAGAGGCCCGTATGGGAAAATCGATTTTTCCATACGGGTCACTTAAGCAGCCGTATGGGAAAATGACCCTCGATTTTTGCAGACGCCACTAGTTACGGTCCACATGGAAAAATGATGGGGCCTCGTACAGAAAAATCACTTTTGTAGTAGTGTCACTCGCAGCCAGAGGAAGCCCTTCACCTGATGAGCTTGTTGCAAGATAGCGCCAGAAATGACAAGCTTTTAGATATGATTGACCACAGGATGGATGACATGCAGCTTCATTCTTAAGATGTAATGCACATGATGCATCTCGCAATGTGGTGCCTTCAGCTTCATAGCAACAGAAGGCCTTCGATGTCAACTGTACGTTCTGAAGGTTCTGGAGGATGAAGCCAGTCAAGCCACTGTGCAGGAAGATCTCGATTTCAATTTTGTTGTTACCAGTTCATCAATCTTCAACGAAGGAATCATGGGTGAATCAAATCTCCCTTTCAGCATCATTACTGTCTGGACCACGCTGAACCATAGCAGTGTGTCTATGTGTGCTGATGTATTTGACTGGGTAGATACTGCTTTCCTTATCATGGTCTTCCGTCCGTATCAGTGCCTGACAAAACTTACCTATCTACTGTAAAATTAAAGGTGTTTTTGATTATTATTCTGTGATGAATAATTGGGCATTGGAGATTATTGGTTTTGTTAATTGGAATTTATTCACGAAGTGGTTTTGGAGATGATTGGATTTACAGGTGAATTACAGGTGCTGTCATTTTATGTGACCGGTCAGACCGGGCTCTGGTAGCCGGTCAGACCGGCGTGTAATGCGCGGTCAGACCGGCGCAGCCCGCGGTCTGACCGGCCGACGCTGTGTCGGTTTCGGTTTCGGGTTGTTTATTTGGATATCCGTGATTATTTCATGATTATGACTTCTAGATGGATACTATACATATGTAATACTGTTGTTTGCTACTAATGAGTCAAGTTGGAGATAACTTGGTCTCGGAATATGGTTTCTTTGTTTATTTCATGTGTAGGTAACTCGATGCCTCGGGAGAGTATTTGCGGTGATGGACCGGGAGTCGGCTTGGGGATAAGACGACGTCTGTGGTGGTCAGAGATCATGCGGGATACTTAGGCTAGAGTTGATGCACGTGGTTGATGGAGATTCCATATGGCATACGATGGAGGTATTGTGTGCGTATGGGATGCGGAGTCGAATTTGGAAGGAGTCCAAATTTGATACGATTGGTTATGTAAAGTTTCTTTATTGTACTATAAGGTTTCCTAAGGTGTTTAGGACTTCTAGTATGAGTTTGGTTCATGGCTTTAGGCTGCCTACCTCATGTATAAATAGAGGGGGAGCGTGAGGCTTCCCAGTATCGCTTTTGAGAGCAATTGAGTTGAGTTTTGAGTTAGGGTTTCGAGTTTAGTCGAGATTTTTGTAAAAAGTGCTGTTGGTGCACTTTGTAAACACAGAGAGAATCAATAAAGTCGTCATCTACTTTAAGAGTTCTTCGATTTGTGTTTCACCGGGTTTCGGCGATCTAACCGGCGACACACCGGCGGTCAGACCGGCGGCATCGTGGTGGTCAGACCGGCGGCGACAATAGGCGCGATAGGGATTCCAAGGCGGTCCAACCGGAAGATCAACACCGGTCAGACCGGCGGCATCCACACGGTCAGATCGGCAGATCAATCTCGGTCAGACCGACTTCCGTCGATTTCGAAGGTAACTTTTATTTCTGCTAAAAGTTTTCGGTTTTTGGGTATACCAACCATTCACCCCCCTCTGGTTGGCTTAGTTTCTGTGATTCGATCCTACATCTACCTATGTTTTCATAAGATACAATCCATATTTGAGCACGTCTATGTAGAAAATACTACTGTACTATCTGTGTACTTCCTTTTTCACAAGGATTAGTTTGTGATTAATTATGTAGGCTTCTTTTGGTTGAGCTAAAGTCAAACTGTAGCAGTCATATGCAAAGCCAGTAGGATCCATCTGTGTGCTTTCGCTTTCATTTCACTTTTTTTAGTGTTGTATCTATTTCTTGTCGCTGGATGGTTGACAATCCTGAGAGTCCATATCCTGAATGTCCATGTCATCTGCAAAGCTTTACAAGTCAATGGAAGCTTCAAGAAAACTTTAAAGCAGAAGAACGGAGTCATCAAGAAATGCAGACGGCATGGCAGAGCAGTTTTTACCTTGCCATCGCTAGGATTGAGGGTTTGAGGCCCAGTATGTGAGCTGCCGTTTGGGCCCACAGGCCCACACCAACTTGGACTCTCCTTTTGCAGCACCTGGCCAGCAAAAGAAAATTGTTCACTTTCAGTCCCTTAATTTGAGGGACTTGAAGTGGACTTTCTGCCCAGTAAAACGGAAACGGAGGTCACTGGCTGCCCACAAAGCCCATAGTGACTCTTCACATGGAAATCTTTCTAGCCCATCTTATAAATCTCTGATAGGGGGACTACTAGTACCTGCTTACTAGCACCAAAACAGAGACATTAGATGTGAGATGTCTCCTGATCAGCTTTACTGTTCCTGCTTTGCAGCGCAGTAATTCAAAAGGCGAACCCACCACCCCCACCACTGTAACAATCACGGGGGAGGGAGTCGCGTTGCGTGCAGTGCCGTTGGGTCGGCGGTCCAAACAGTACAGACATTCTACATGCAGTGAGTGGGTGACCGCATGCATGAAAAGACGTTCACCCCAACATGCGCGACGGCAACATCTCGCTGCCGCAGCCAGCCAGTGACAGTCACAGGGCGAATCGAGGAAAGAAGAAAAGAAAAAAAGGAAGTTAGCAGTCGTGCAAAGCGAATAGACAGGACAGGCAGTAAACGCCGAGTCGTACATGGCCTGTGCTCTCCCCTCCGAGAAAGATCCCCCACCCCCAATCCCGAGGCGTCCAGACTCCAGACTCCAGACCATCCATCCATCTCCTGCGGTCACGCAGGTCGTCTCGTCTCGTTGCTTTTTTTTCCTCGGTGGCCCGGTGCGATCATGGATCGGTGGCGGTAGTCCGTGAATTTGCGCGTGTGTGGCCGTGGGCTGCTTTTTCCCTTCCCGTGCCGTTGCGTTGGCCGTGCCGTGTGCCCGCCTCCTCTCGCGTCACCCCGCGGTCTCGGTCTCGCGCGCGGGCGGTTGCTAGCAGCAGCAGCAGCGCGGCAACGACCGCACCGCGTGCGGGCACGGGGCCGGGGCGGCGCGATCGAATCCGAGGTGAAAAAGTTGGGACGACGTACGTACGCCTCGCTCCATGCTCTCCGCGCGGGTCGCAGCGGACGGCGTGCGAGCGCCGGCTTCCTGCAAGTCTGCGACTGCATGTGATGTGATGCGCGCGTACGTACGTGAACGTAGGCTAGCTAGGAGCGCTGCGTACGTGTGTAGGAGTAGTCGGTTACGCGATGACGTACGTGCTACGCGAGTGCGACTGCTATGCATGCACTGCGTGGCCCGTGATCCACCAATTTCTTCCCTGATGCTCTGCGTGGTGGCGCAGGAAAATATGCAGGCCCTTTTTTCACGTCAGAATATGCCAATGCATGTATGCCAATATATACGCCTGTGCAGCTGTGCTGCCAACCTTCCATCCAAACGATATTGCAAAGTATTGTCGTCTTCAAAATAAAAAAAAAATCGTCGTGCTATGTGATTTCGCGCGAGCTGAGCTGAGCACTCTGAATACTACGTAGGTGCACGCCTGTATATGACCATGCACGGTTGCACGCAAGTACATGCTTGGGTCCCCAAGCTAATTATCCCATTTAACCGATCGATCCTTACCCGTCACCTCTTCGACGCCCAAGCTAGAAAGACCGGTTTATTAAAGAGATGAGAGAAGAATATGTAACAAAGCAACATTCTTATATCACCATGCATGTTTATGTATTACCTCTCGCCACCAACACTCACATGGGCGTGCCGCCTTTTTATACACCCCAACACAGACAGCAGGTAGGTCGTTGGTGCCACTTTTAACAAGTTAAAATTCCTCCATTAGCTACACCATCTTTTCATACCCTGTTTCATAGAAGCATCCATCGGCCGATCATAGCCGGGTGATAGGGAACAGTTGCCCTTTAAAGTAAACCGTCCAGTTGGTTCAACCAATTAACCACCCATTCTTTAGCCCAAAATGAACTAACACACTCCCTGTCCAGTCGCGATTAATTAATCCGGTCGCGGCCTCTCCAAACACGCCGAGACAAGAGATCGATCGATCGAGCGCCGCATAGATGCCAGCCACGAAGTCTTGCCCCGGCCAGAAACGCAGCAGCAACGCGAGGCTAGTTGCGAGTTGGGCACCGCTGCCCCTGACCGACCGTGCAGCACTGCATGTACAGATGTACTTTCATCTATCGGCAACTCAGCGTGCAGCTAGCTCACTGTCGTGTCCGATCGAAATGCCACTAGCTACTTGCTCAGTTTCATATTACAAGTCATTTTGACTGACTTTAGTCAAAGTCAAATTACACGCTCTAAATTTGACCAAATTTATAGATAAATATAGTAATATTTACAACAACAAATTAATTTTATTA